GGCTGCTGCTTCCACAAGCCATGGCATGGCATGGACGGACGGCTCATGACAAACCCAATGAGCTGTTCATAACAAGGGGGAAAACGACCCAGCGCCGCCGATCACGTTTTGCGGTCTCTGTCAGGAATGCAAATGGGAGACAGGTGTCCGGTATTCGCCGTTTATTTCCTTCTTCCCCCCGGCACGGTCGCCACTGGGCAAACTTGCCGCTAATCACCGATCAATTCCACCCTTTGTGAAACCATCATGCAAATAGAGCACTACTCCGCTATCTAAATGTACACACACTGGAACCAGCATGTGGTATATACATGAAGTATGTGCATACACAAACCCAGGTGAAAGTGACAGCCGTACAAAACAGCTCTGTTACCATGGCAATCTAATGAGATCTTATTGGAAGGATTTGATAGATTGAATCTCAATCTCCTCGAGAATTAATTAAAGCATACCCTGGAGGGGCTCCAAACCCACTAGCCCCTTGCGTGGCCCAATTAAAATCCTCCTGGCTTAGATGGGCATGCAGCACAATACAATGGGTATATTTTTCACTGTTCAACAGGTGAAATAGATTTTCTGGTATGCGCTATAATTACCCAGTTGAAGCTAATCTTGAGCTCTGGTATGGAAATTGTATTTTGAGAGAGAATTGCTATCATTTATTCTGGGCTGTTTATTTTGCAGTAGATGTCTTGTTTGAGGCAGTGAAATAAAAACAAACGCACAAAAACTAACTGGGCATCATCTGCGATAAAAAAAAGAAAATACAACTCCCATTTGCATGAAAATGTATATACAGACCTGTGTTTAGTCCATGGTGTCAGGCCTACTTATTTGTACCTGAATTTCCTTATCTTTCTATGCTCATTACTTTAATAGCCACTATACATTTTCTACCAAAATTGTTTGGCACATGTAATTTATTTGTAATCTTGAACTTTCAGTGTAATTTTTGTTGGATTCTTTGAGAATTCAATTTTTATATTTATCAGAACTCAAGTTTATCTTGAAGTACCTGTTCTATTGTGTCAACTAAAACATGCATGGAAGATACATGTAGTTCAGTGGAGTAAAGTCACATATTCTACCCATGTATACCGTATGTTGAGGTCTAAAAGGGAAGCTAATGTTACTCTCTATAGTCCTTCTGGCGCTCAACAGGCAATTAACACTGTAAGCATTCAATTGGAATGATTGCACTCAAATCTATTGATTTTCCTTCCCCTAAGTGCGTAAATGAACATGCTTGTACACAAATGTAGGGCTCTACCAACTAAAAACATCCATCACATCACACACATACTTTAGTGTATATTGTACATTTCAGTTGTCGCTAGACTGGGCAAATCTCTAACAAGCTGTTGAGGTTGTGGAGAGCATTTTGGAGGGTCTGTCAGTCTGATAAGCTAGCATAGAATTTAAAATAATGAAAAAAGAGCCAATTGAAAAATGGCCTGCAGAAAGGAAAAACTTTATTTTAAATTACCTTTATTGTGCCAAAACAAGGGAAATGCATTTAAGCCCAAGTTACTTGTTTTATTAAAGAACAATGTACAGGACTACAGTGTACATAAACTATACAAAGAAAGATAAATATACTACACAATTTATTACATACAAAATGCCCCAAGTGATTTCTGTTGCAGAAGAAACACCATGGCGATACAAGGCACCCCAATTAGATGTAATGATGAACATGCACCTGCAAAGCAATATAAATGTCCGGTGTAGATACAAGTCCTCATCCGTATGAACAATGCACGCCATTCATTCATCCAACTTGACCCAGACATGCAGGGCATGCACCGGATTCACGGACAGGAGGCCAGAAGACCAGGGGGGTGTTTCACAAAGATCCCAAGTTGAACTTGTCTCTAAGGTTGACTTAACAATTATGGGGAGCTGTTAGCATCTTCGAAAATATTTTGTATTATTTATTTCAAAAGGCATAAAATGTTGATTCAAATCATTCATATTTTCTATTATCAAGGAGGTTTCATGTTCTTGATGTGGAATTTATAAAGTCTAAAATACTTGATTTTTGCGCTTTGAAACATATTTATTTTATTTCTGATTGGTTATCAGCAGATTTGTCAGTGAAAAAATGCTTTGTGAAACAGGTCCCAGACTACAAGTTACCTCATATTCATACGCTGCTATCTACAGTAGATTGGAAGTTACTGAGATGCTATGAATATCAATAGAATGTTTTTATCATGTTTTAATCAGCCAATTTTGGCCTCATCACAAAATAATTGTCCATTAAACTATTAATTCTGCTCAACATTAGACAGTATCCAAGACACCTCTTGAGCTGACAAAAGTCTCTTTTTCTTTTCTTTTTTAAAAGTATATTGTATTAATTAGCAAAGGTTAAATTATAAGTAAAATAATTGAATAATTGATTCTCAAGTAGATAGATGCTACATGTATGTATCCTGTACAACATTTTTCATATTTGTTGGAGATGTGATGAATACCTTGTATGCGAGTATATTATTACAATCTTTAACTTGGTGTGTTAATGAAATTCGACCCTCTACATTACACTAAATATGCAGGTACCCTTTTACATGTATGTATTTGGAACAGGCACTTTTCAGATGTTCTCTCAAATACGGCATCCATCAAAGCACTATCCATACTTCTATTACAGGACCCACATCAAACTTTGGTTTGTTTTTGAGGCACCCAGTATTCTTGGCGCCATGATAATCAATCTGTCCCAGTCCTATGGTTATTGATGGTCAGACTGACCGTAAGACCAGCCAATGCCTCATATTTCCCGTCATGAAAACGATCTCATGATTAACCAAACAGCGAATCCATGTGTGGATGCGCATACTGTTCATTTCTGAGAATGCCTGGATTCCCGGGAAAGCTGAGATTTCAAGTCAAACTCAGATGAATCTACATCCCAGATGCCCTCCGCCATACCAGAAACCCATATTATGCATCCCCAAGATCACCTTTCAATTTCATTAGAGTAAATGGGATGCATGGCAACACCATCATCCCCCCTCTTAATACAAGCCCACATTTCCCTCCCTAGATGGGCAGACGCATTTCTATCACATCCGCAAAATCATAGGTTTATTTTACGCCACTAATGGAGTAGAACAGAAACAGCGGCACTGTCATTAAGAGCAGCATCGAGACCTGCGAAATTTGGGTTAAATTTGCATCTCAGATTTGCCAATAAGCGACTTGAATTGGCAATTCCGGGACAGACGAGGGCTTATCCTTGCACGGTCACTTTGAAAGCGAAAGGGCAGAGGATGAGGGCCAGTTGAAATGTCAACATAGCCAGGAAAATGCATTAGTTTAGTACATCTACGGCATCCTTTTATAAAGGTAATTCATCAATAGTGAGCCAGGCATGTCAGCTAAAATGTCAAAATTCTATTCTATTACTCCCTCTGTATTAAAGAGAGTCTGTATCAGGTTACGTTTTGAAGAACCCTGAGATGACAATTAGAACATAAACAGCATCAACTTTCATACTTCTACTGCAAATAGAATACACATTTCTTTTGAAAGAAGCAGACTTCCAGGTTAGAAGAAATGTTAAGAACTAAAGCATTTTAAATTCAACATTTAAAAAGGGTGAGATAGCAGCAGTGCTTGAAAAATGTTCTATTTCACATTTTTACTCATTAATAATGCAGACAGCTGTAATGCACAACATATACACGCAGATGGTGCTCAAGGCGCTATTAAAAGAAGCATATTGATGAAGAATAATATACTAAGATGCTTACACTTCAAATAAAAAACATATTCAGGAGAAAACACTTTTCATTAGGACATATTTTCAGGTTCCCTTTTAAAGTCATCACCAGTTTCACAATCTTTCACTGATTTTGGGAATCTGGATTGCTGGATCCAATACAACAAAGACCTGTGGCATCCTGCAAAGTATCAAATCTTCTATTTGAAAAAAAAATGCAATCACTGCTTGGTGCTTGTTGATGTTGATTTGACACTTTAGTATTTAGAGTTCGGACATTCTTGCCGTCGAGTGAGAATTCTCTCGCCAAAAAAAATCTTTGCATCGCGATCAAAATCGCACTGATTATTATGTGTGAACAGCCTATTAGACTACATGTAGGGCAATTCAAAGCTAGTTTCCTCATTTGGTGCAATTAAGACCTATTACCGTGAACACAATTATGGTGATCACCAATTAGTGGACAATCTGACCTACATTGTAGAATGTACAACATGTAGTATACTGTATGTACATTTGACAGGAATGTACAGATTCAAACTCAAAACCTTATTTTACATTCCCAATTACCTCACATGATACAGTCAAACCTTTTATAGTGGCCACCTCTTCATAAAGGCCACCTCTTTATACTGGTCAACAACATGTATGCATGTTTCCCTCAAGGAGAAACTATATGTACGTGTATGTGCTTTGAATTAAAAACTACAAGTTTAAAAAATATATCTAGAATATCCATCGGTCTACAGTGGTCCCTTTTCCCACCTTCTATTGGTGGCCTTTATAGACAGGTTTTATTGTACATTCTAAAAGAGATTCAAATACAATAGATTTGATAATACACAATTCAATAAATAAAATCAATAGATCTTTATATTTACACAATATTCGTAGACAGAGCAGGCAACGCATTTCAAAGTCAGAGCTTAAAGAAAATGAAAATGGCGTATCCATAGGTGGTAAGCACCCAACTGGTATGATGGGCAAAAATCAAATAATATTTTGTACCACCTTTAACTACTGGTACACAGTATATGTACATCTGACTAGTATACAGGTATGTACACAGCTAGAAGTAATTCTGACTCTACATGTACATATTGAACAACATAAGCAGGTAGCAAGCATAACTTCTTGAACTCTCAATGAACATTTCAAAAACCTGTTTTGAAATATCTAAAGAGAAAATGTTAAGATAAACATTGTGTATCTCATCCCCAACAACAAACTTCTCAGATCCACCTGTTGGTTTAAAGACTTCAAAACTTACTGCTTCGGCAGGAGTGCCGCCATTGGAAGTTTTTCTCCTGCGATTTATGGCTGACTTTATGAAGCTCATCTTCAATAATGTACTATTACAACAACACAATAAACAACAGGAAAGTTGGTCCTTGGAATGGATTTAGTTTGTGTTTGGTGGAGTGTTCAGGAAAGCACTTTAATAATAGCACTCTGGCTGAAATTAGGGGCTCTGCCCAGTGTTAGAGCGCTCAATTGGAGCACAGTAGACTCACAGATTGGCCGCGCTCAAATCCCAGCAATCAACACTGATTTGAAAGCATATTTCTCCTCTAAGTAAAGGTTCATGATTCACGGATTATCCACATATTAAAATCCCAGAGGGGTCTGACGAGCACCATCATTGCTGTGAAACAGGTTGGAATGAAAAATAACGGTAAACCAGAGAAGAAAACGAAGTACAGCTGGAAGGAAAAAATGGAATGCGGAAGATTAGAAGAAAGAGATCTTATGCGACGAGATCAAAGACACTCAGATTAGGGTCTGCATGGTGGTTGCACACGATTTGAGTTCTGAGTCGGACAGTGTAGAGTGGGGTAGCAGGCGACGACGAGAGGTGTTCGTTGCTCGCTACGCAAGGCTACAGCTGAGGAGTTTAGAGCAAAGTGGCAGGGTACAGTGGGGCGATGTTGGCATTATGCATGCGAGGCCTGCTCTCCGGCGAGGGACGCTGCAGGTTTTCTTATTCCGTCTTTCGCAGCCAGCAGATAACACTGAGGAAGACGCCACGGCTGCATGATAGAACCCGTGCATATGGGATGGATCTTGCAAATGATAAATGCCCAGTGCGTGTTTGCAGTTGGTTGTGTATGTACATGAGTGTGTTGTCTGTGTATACGTGATGGAGAGTGTGTGTCCTGTGTATGCTTGTTTGTGTGTTATGATGCCAGCATGCCTGCATGTGGTGTTGGCACAGGGAGGGACACCGTTTAATAACATCCATCTGGAAAGCTCAAATAAATATATAATGCAAATATGCTGATGAACTGGAGTAAAATGATAAATTACACACTCTCATTTCTCACATCCTTTCTCAGTTATATTTGTCTTTAAACCGTTTCTTGCTATATTTCTGAATTAATTCTCTCTCTCCCTCTCTCTCTCTCTCTCTCTCACTTTTCCAACTGCATTCTTCCAACTCTTTTTCTCTTTTCTTCTCTGTTCTTCAATTTCTCTTGCTCTCATCTACATTACACATTTCTCCATCCCTCTTTTTCTGTATCCCTCTCTCTTCTAGTTCTTCTCTCCTGTCCTACTTTTTTTCCCTCTCTCTCTCTCTCTCTCTCTCTCTCCCTCTCTCTTTCATCTATTATGATCTAACGATCCATCTAAAGTAGGCTCATATCTGGATGTGCTTCTATTGGCTGCGGCACAATCAATGCTTCATTATGACAGGTGATTGTGACGGCATAGCTAATGAGCGGCACATCTTCTCATATTCATTCCCACCTAGATGTAGATCTTGTATTAGGAGAGAACGCTGTGTGATTTCATGCTTCTACAATGCAGTTTTCTCTTCAAGTATGTTTTAAAATTAGTTTTCTATTTAATTTGTGATCAAATCACCATTTTAGGGCAGTTGTTTGCCGTGCGGTATGTACAAAAAATTAAAAAAATGATAATAATAATTATTAAAAAACATATTTTATGAAGAAAAAACGTATTACCGTAATTTGGAAGAAGAAACGGAGTAATTCCGGCAAAAACGGAATGGTTGCCAGCTCTGCTACATACATGTACTTTCTTGAAGTGGGACACCATCTCAGTTTAGGGATAAAAGAAAATGTATTTATACAGGCAACTTCAATGCACCTGCTTTCTTTTGTGATATCGTCTGCCAACAGCCGAAAAATTGGTAAATTGTTACTATTTTAGCATTTAAAAGTAAAACACTTTTCTACTTTTTCTAGCTCTCACTAAATTGAACTTTGATATAATAATGATAACAATGATATAATACTAACAAGAACAACAAACCTTGACAACAATGATATTACAGCTACTAGAATAAATAATTAATGATAACAAGCACAATTAAAGATTTAAATGCACTTTTTCCCAGTAACGTATAAGCCCCTTTAATACATGTACATGTACATATGCAAAAGGCAACCAATCTAATAGCTATGACTATAACAGGCCTTAAATTTCAATATTTTTAGGGCAAGGCCACTTTTCTGTAGGGCACATTCCTATATTACAGCACAAATAGGATGAATTGGAAAGGGCACAATAAATCTCCAAGGCCAATGAGAGGGGCATTGAGGCCAATCAAAGGGGCATCCAAGGCAATGGCCTTGGTGGCCTTGAATTAATTTAAGCCCTGCTATAAATGTAGGCCCACTTACACGGCCCAAACACCATTTTGAAAAATCAGTGAATTTTTGGACTGCCAATTAAACTACTGAAAAAACCCATAAAAAGCATCACTCTTTGGTGTCTTTGCTCATTCCAATTTTTTGGAGAGTAGGCGCATGCCCTACTCCTCGCTGCTCTGTGTGCAATTGCACAGAAGCAAGGAGAGTCACATGACCCATTTACCAATGTTTTGAGAGTTGGCATTTACACTGTAAAAATCAGTGAAATTTCTGCAGGCGTAGAAAAAAGTAAAACACTCCGGAGGGGGATTTTTCAATTTTCGGTTGCCTTCGTGTTTGTTGGTAGTTTCTTATAACCACCGACACAACACCAGAATGTGAGAAAGATCAATCATTTTTGCTTGCAGTGTATACATGTATGCAGCTACTGTATTTATTAGCTAGACCCTACTTTTCATGAATTTTTTGTTAAAAGTTCATGCACATTTCATTTTCTTTTTGGATATACCTGTAATGAAATACTGATTTCATGAAGGCATAATGATACATGTGGAAGAAAATATAATCCTTTCCCAAGTTGTTTCAAACTTATAACAACAAAAAAAAACATAACCATGCAGTGGCTCCTTTTGGATTTGATATTATAAAAGAGTACAATGTACAAGTGAGATTTCTAATTTCCTATAATGATTTTCATTTAAAATTCTATCATTTGCTATTTTTGAACCAGAGCTACATGTATTTTGCTGGTTTCCAGTGTTATTGGGCTTTCAATTCTCCACTCTCGTGTTCTCTCTCTCCTCTGTGAATAATTACCAGTAATACATGTGACATAAAATACCGAGAGATTTGGTCATTAAAATTCTGCATTGTTTACTACTGCTGGTACATGAACATACACTTGACCCGAGACACCTAATAAATACCACACACACTGAACATGTGTGTATGGCATGCAGTGCTGCAAGCGATATCCGCAGACAAATCAGCCCATGCCTGAAAATTTTTCAATTAAATCGGGATCTGCCTACAGTCTGCCATATTGCAGCTTTCGTTCCCCCTCCAGGCTCCAGCTCTGTCCTTTAGAGCTTGATGTGGGTATTGCTTGTCTGGCGCCCTCTTGTGATTAAGGAAAGCACAATGCTGCATTCCTGCTTTGCTCTGTAGTGAGTATGGTACTCTACATGTACAGTGTAGATGAACTAGACATGAACATACAACATGTATGTCTAATGCCTGTATCTGTTCTTAAACAAAACACAAAGTATTTTCACAAAATGTGCTTCATGCTTTGTGTACAGTTTTGTCTCAAACAAGACCCATAATAATGATGATAAACAAAAAGAGTTCTCTTGTGAAAAGAGAACTACAAAGTACACTAACTTTAACTAAGATGTTACCAGGTATTTCTATAACTTTTAAAGACAAACTTGAGTTCTGGTAAAAAAAGAAAATGAATTCTCACAGAATCAAACGAAACTTACACTGAATGTTCAAGATTACAAATAAATGTCATTTGCCAAACAATTTTGGTAGAAAATGTATAGTGGCAGAGTAATAAGCATAGAAAGATAAGGAAATCAAGGTGTAAGAAGGCCCGACACCATTTGTGTAGTCCCATATACATGTACATCTCTTATTCTCTCTGTGTACAGTGCTTGTTACTTTACCAAGACTGAGCCAAATTTGATATGATCTTATCTTATAAAAATGATAATAATAATATGTCTTGTTTACCCAGGGTAGCCTCATTAGTATTCATACTCTTCTCCCTGAGGGGCCTGCAATCATATTATTACCCTGGCTCTATCTTAATTTATGTTGGTAGAATAATCATTTTCTTTTTCTTTGATTTATATCTTTTTACATTCTACTGATGAGTAGGCCTGTAACCGATCATCGGATCGGGGGCCGATAATGCATGCCTACATTATAATCCAAGATGGCGGCCCGCATGTTTTGCCTCTTCTCTTAGACCAATATTATTAATTTCAAAGTCATGAAAAGGCACCAAATATCAACAAACATGGTCTACAACAACTCCAAATGACAAAAATATTCCCAGCTATGATTTTTTAAAGCATATGATAGCCCAAAACTTGAAAATTTTCGGCATTACAATTTTTTTATTTATTTTTTTAAATTCTGCCAATTTTTTTCACCAATTATTTTTGCCGATACCGATCACAGATGCGAGGGTGTCGCTCTGATTTTCCAATCCGATCAAAGCCCAACTTACAGGGTTACCGATGAGTTAAGGTATATGAAAATTAATGAGTGTCCACTTCCTTTTTCTTGCCGAGTGTATGTACACGCTGCTTTAGATGACATTTTCTCAGGCATACACCAGTAGAGGTATTGTGGTCTAGTGGATCACATGGTTTGTGGTTCCAATCCTGCCGCAGCACTAATGTTCTTTGGCAAGACATTAATCTAAATTTGCCACTCTCTACCCAGGTGTTAAATGGGTACCTGGTAGGATGTGAATGTTAATGTTGGTGGATAGGCATGTGTGCACTTGTAAAATGGTGCCTGGTCAGAATATTCCCCAGGGAGTGGAGCATGTGCACCGTCACATGAATTGAATTCAAATGAATCCAATGACTGGATAATAATAACATCACAATTTAAAGCACTTTATGTAGCATTAGGCACATTATCCGTCTTCCAGTGAACCAATATGACTAACCCTGGGGCCCAGTCGTATTATATAGAGAGTTGATATAAATCATGACTTATTCGTGATTGATATCAATTGCAGCTACTGTATGTACATACTGTAAGAGATAGGAGACTGCAATCTTGCAATTGGTTGGAGGACTTTCTTTATAAGATGGGGCCCAGTTGTGTACACGTACATGTACTGTAAGGCTCGTTTAAATTGCAACTCACTGTTTGACATGCATTCATAATTCATCATAATAATTCTATGCATGATAAGACCATTGCCAACTACAAGCAGGATTAGGAAGATCACAGCTCATGTATTCCTAATGTAATGCATCATGATGCAGATGAAATTGGGCAAGGAAGGATTGTGGATTCTGTGTGCCTGCTTAGTCTGTAGGTCTACATGTACAGGTATACAATGTAAATGTGCACTTTGCAATACTGCAATCATTAAGTGAATTTTAATATCAGTATTTTTGTGCACACATTGAAGATCGATCATACACATTTTCCAATAAATCTGGAAAATAAAAGATGACTGTAAAGATGTACCGGTACATGTATTCATAATCAAAGAAATGATTCTGCATAATTTCTGTACAAGGAAAAGATTCAAAGATGAAGTTGAGTTCTGGTCATGCGATTGCATTATGAAAGAAACAGTGTGGAATACATGTACACTGTTGCTCATAACGGTGGAATATTTTTTTTTATCCCAATTTATGGAATTA